AGGTCCTCCTGTCTCAGCTTGTGTCTCTGGGCAAGTCACCCCACACCTCCGCGCTTTTTCTTTCTCATTGGCAATGTGGGCGATAGCAGTGTCTGCCTTACAAAGCTGTTGTGAGGATTAAATACAAGAACCTGTCCACATAGCATGTGTTTGACAACTGGGTGCTGTTATATAAGAAAATGTCTTCAGGTGGGTAGATCTGTGCCTGGAGCACCACTTGGTATTGTGTCCCCCCCCCCCCCCCCCCGGCCTGGGAATGTCTGAGACAGTAATGCCAGGGCTGTGGAGAATTGAAGGAGAGTCTGAAAGAGAGTTGTTTCGGAAGTGGAGGATTAAAGTTTGGGACACTGGGGAGCTGGAGGCAGGTGTAGATGTGGGGGGTAGGGAGGGAGCACGGGGAGGGCCAGGTACTGGGAGAGGCAACGCGGGAAGAGGCAGGGGCGGGATCCTGGGCCTTCTGGCCTGCGGTGCAGGTCTAGTTCCTCCTTGCAGGCGTGGGGAGGCAATGAAGTTTGAATAGAAAGCTCTGGGCAGTGTGGGGACAGGGATAGATCCGGTCCAGGCCTATATAGTTTCAGGAGAAGTCACTGCACACATGGAATGGTCTCACTCGGTCTGCCAGACCTTTTGATATCTGGGTTGCTATCATTTCCGTTTTGCCATCTCACAGTTAAGCTTTAACTGAGCCTTCAGGAGGGGAGCAGTGTGCCCATTTAGGCAGCTGCTAAGTGATGGCTTCAAGCTGGGACCCCATCTCCTTTAGTCATGGGCCTCTTCTGCCCTCCAGGGCAGAGGGGACTTCTGGAAGGGAACCAGGAGCATTTAAGGAATCAGAAAGAACCTGACAGCTTTTACCCTGTTTTTGTGATTTGTAAATGTAAAGCCTGCTGCTACTTTTTCTTTCTGCACTAAGCAGCTGTTGCTGAATTCTCCCTACTGAATGTTCTGGTTGAGCAGACAGCAACATCAGTATTGTTCATTTTGGAAATAAATGGCAAATGCTTAATAATTACCCAGCAGAGAAACATTTCAAGTTAACCAGCTGTTTAATTAGGAAAGTATGTCCAGTCCTGATTATAAAGTACGTTGGTCCTATAGTGGGATAAGATGAAGCTACTCATGACTATTTTTAAGGCGTTGGGTGTGGACTGCACCCAGAAACAAAAGATGACGCTTTGCCTTTAACTGTGCAGCCAGGAGCACTTACCACTGGGTTCTGAAATTATTTCCTTAAGTCAGATGTCCAAAATAAAATCGCTCTGGCAGAGTGAAGCTCTCGACACACCTGGTCAGACTGTTTTTGTGCAAGTTCAGAAAGCATCCTTAAAACCTAGTACATGCACAAAGCTTTGAGTCTTGATGAAAATTGGTCATTTTGAAATAGAACTATGAGAAGTGAGTGGTTGGCTGGGGATTTATTAAATAGGAACTTGAGGACATGGGATTAAATTGTAGCAGGAGTCTTGGCTAAAGTAAAACTTTATATATGAAGAAGACTTTTGTTTGTTTGTATGTTTTTATTTATTTTTATATTTTGAGACTGGATCTTGCTGTGTTGCCCAAGCTGGCTTTGAACTTGGTGATCCTCCTGCCTCAGCCAGGATTACAGATGACTTTTTACTGTAAAGTCTGTAGCAAAACACCTTTTTGGGCTTGTTTTTGTCCTTGGCAAACTTGGGATAGTACTGTGGTTCCTGAGAGGATAGTGGAGATTAAATTGTTAGATAGCACAGTATTCTACGATAGTTTAAAGAATCTTTACCAGTGTTTTCCTCCCGCTACAGAAGATTCAGTTGATGAGCACTTTCCCCTTATTCATGGTCATCTTCCAAGCTCTTCTCCTTGGCTTCCCATTGGCAGCTTGGAGAGGACCCAAGTTCTGTGTCAAGGCCACCAGGAAGGGCGGAAGTAGCGGAGGGACACAGGCACAGCACCTAGTCTGACGTTGCTGTCACCCCTCAGGAGAAACCAAGGCCATGGAGGAGGGGACGGAGAGGACGCGGTGTGTGGCACGGTCACCCCGTGAAATGGAATGCGCAGCGCTGGTGGGAACCCAGCCCAGCTCCATGCCTCTGGGATCTTCATCTACTTCTGGCCTTTGCCAGCTGTGGATGGACACACGGCCCCAAGCGGTCGGTCGCCATAGTGCAGGAGGGCCGCACAGGCAGATTAGATTTGAATTTGAATGGTGGGTCCAGCTTCCTTGGGGCTGACTTTGCCTTCAAAAGGGAGTTAGTTCCTGATGCTTGAGGGAGACAGGCCAGACTGCAGGGAGAGGAGGAGTGACGGATGCGGTACTCACCAGTGCTGGGGCCTGCATTCGGGGCTCTGGGATTGAGTCATACTTCTTGCCAGCCCATTTCCCCAGTGGTGGCTCAGGCTGGTGTGGCGTGGTCGTCCTCACAGCGTGTTCATTTCCCAGGCGTCAGAGCTTTCTCCGTGACCCACAAGTGGGTGTTTGTGGGGCTCTGGGCACGGTGGTCAGGGCTGCTGTCGTGGGCTGGGTCCAGTTTGGGATTTATGTGACCCGTGTGGTAAGCAAATGAACTGGCAGTGTTTCGTGGCGGCAGAAGCTCTTGGGCCAGGCTCTGCCGCCGTTTGTATGATTAGGAGAGGAGGGACAGTAACTTGCTCCTCAGTTATGTCACAGGCACTCTGGTCCCTGGGCTCAAGGTGGGTTCACTTTACTCCACCACAGGACTTTGTGTTCAAGCTCACAGCTTTGCTTTTAGGGCTGAAATAGACTTTTTTTTGGTACCGGGGATCGAACTTGGGTCCTTGCGCTTGCGCACCAGGCAGCGAAACCACTGAGCTAAATCTCGGGCCCCAGACTTTTGTTTTTTAAACAAAGCCAAAGGATTTCTTCTATTTTAAAGCATTTTAATGAAATAACTGACATGGTGGTGCATGTCTGTAGTCACAGCACTCTGGGAGGCTGAGGCAAGAGGATGGCACGTTGGAGCCCAGCTTGAGCAACTTAGTGACTTGGAAAGACCCTGTCTCCCCCCAAAATTATAAACAAGCTGGGGATGTAGCTCAGTGGGAAGGCCCTGGATTCAATCCCCAGTGCCAGAAAACTAAAATCAGAAACCAAAAAGGTGAAGGCTTTTTATTTTTATAAAATATATAGCACTAGCTTGATCATTTTTATAATCAATAAGAACAAATTATTGCTGCTTACAAAGTTTTTCAGTTTCATCTGGACACGTGTAGTTAAAAGCACTGTTACCAGAAGTGAATTATTCATTCACTTTGTGTTTGGATGATGTTTGGTAATTTGGAATGCTGCCTTTCAGGACAGATAGAACTTAATATGAGTTTACATTTCTCATTTGGTGCCTTTGACTCTCTAAAGCACTTTTGTATTGACTTTATTTTAGAGAAAGTCCCCAAACTAACAGAAGCTAGAGAAATTAATCCCAAATTTCATTGGTTTACATTCTGTGCGTGTGCTATTTTTAAAACTCTTAGTCTTGTCTTACATTTCATGTGGGGAGAGCTTGGAATTGTCACAGAGGCAGTCAGCGTGACTGATAAGTCCCATCGCATATGGCCCAACCTCAGAATTAGCCCTCAGCCTGTGGCCATGCTCCCCAGCTGCCTTTCATACATCCCTTCCCTTCTGGATGGTTGGACATTGAAGTGGACCAAACCAGGCGTGGTGGCGCACGCCTGTCACCCCAGCACTCTGGGAGGCTGAGGCAGGAGATAAGTAGTTTGAGTCCAGCCCGGGCCATTTATTGACTTAGTGAGACCTTGTCTCAATATGAAGATAAAAATAAAGGACTGGGTGTAGCTTAGTGTGAAGGCCCTGAATCCAAGCCCCAGTACTGGGCAAGGGAGGGAGGGAGGCAGGCTCTGAGGGCCGCAGGGCTTGGTGGCGGGACACCTGCCAAGCGGCGATAGTTTGCATCTCTGCAGTTCTTAGGATTTGGTGAGCGTCTCCTCTCCTGTATAACACAGTCTGTGGGTGTTGTGATGATGCTATACTCTGCCGTCTTTCCTAAAGATGTTGGGATAGCATAAACATTGGAAGAGAGGAAGAGATCACAGCAGGGGCGAAAGAGGATCACCTTGTAATGAAGCTAAATAGAGCAGTTATAAGACAAGCATCATGCAAGGTGGGGCCGTTTTTGAGTGTGCTGATAAATTCTGTGCCAAAGTCGAAAGTTAAAACAAGCAGTTTTATATTATCCAGATTTCTTAAAGATCTCTTTTACTTTCACTGGAGAGAAATTTCCCCATGGGATTTTTTTTTTAAACTATGAATTGAACCCAGGACCTTCTCATTGAGGTACATGCCCAGCTCTTTTTATATTTATATTTATATCTTTATATTTTACTTAGAAACAAGGTCTTGTCAAGTCACCGAGCTGTCCCAGCTGGGCTTGAACTTGCAATCTCGTCTGCCTCAGCCTCCCGGAGTGCTGGGATTACTGGTTTGAGCCACTTCTAAAAGGGCCACTGGGGGTGGCGGTGAGGGGGTAGCTTGTCTGAGAAGGTGGCTGTCTGAGGTGGGCCGCTCTGGGGAAGACTGCTCTTGTGTTTGGTGCCTGCCGGAGTAATTCCTAGCAGTGCCTGGAATTTATGGAACATGTGTTATTGTGCCAGGTGAATAAATTTTATTTAACTTTCAACACATTCCTGCTCCAGAGACACTCTCATTTTGTTCCTTTTTTCAGGTAAAGAAATTAAAATTCAGAGAAAATAAGTAACTTGCCCAAGTTAGGCAGCTGTCTGTGCTCAGATTGTTAAAAATGTTTGATCCCTAGAGAGTGAATTGTTGATTTATGTTTTTTGGGCCTATGAGTTTCATTATGTTGGTTTTTTAAAAAAATGTTCATTGTGTACCTAGAAATGTGATCGCTTTGTGGAGGATGGGCCTTAGGCCATGGTTCGCCAGCGTCCTTTGTAGTAATACTAGGTGCACTCGATTGCTGGGGTGTTATTTTCATTGCACATTAACAGTTCTGGGTTTCTTGCTTCTTATTTTAATGCAGAGAGAAAAGGATCGTCAGGAAGAAAACACTAGTTTGTTTGGGAACACAGGGAAAAGTGATGGCAGCGAGGGAAGAGCGATGATAACCCCAGCTCTCCGAGAAGCCCTTACGAAACAAGGTGAGAAGCCCTGAGGATTGGTGCTCTAGCACTGCGCTCCCAAGCTAGCTGGCTAGTTGCATTCTGCCCTCCCTCCCTCCGTCCTTCCTTCCTTTCTTCCTTTCTGTCTGTCTTCTCTCTCTTTGCTTTCTGTGGTGCTAGTGATCGAACCCAGGGCTTTTGCACTGACCTACATCTCCAGCCTTTTTTTTATTTTCTTGTCTTCTGAAACCAGGTCTTGCTAAGTTTCCTGGGTCAAACTTGCAATCCTTCTCCCTCAGCCTCCCAGAGTGCTAGGATTTTAAGCTTGTGCCACCAGGCTCCCTAAGCATTCTAATTTAATGCCACAAGAGAAAAAGCATAAACTGGGGCTTGTCAAGAGGAGAAGAGGTAAGTCTTGAGTCAGCACACCAGCTGTGGCAGTGGCAGGCTGGCTTCCTGAAGGCTCAGCCTCCTGCCTCTGTGGTCACGGCAAGTGGCTGCCTGGCCCTGCACGTCTTCCTTTTCCTTGTCAGTGTGGCTCCAGTGTGCAGATAGAAAATGCAGCTGATCACTGGCTCTTTACCAACCACTGTTTATTAAGGGAAGACTATGAAGTGAGAGAAGAAGTTTATATGACACAAGACTGAGCTAATTAGAAGTATTTTATGTAGAAGGATCACATCTGGAGTTTTGGGGTCACGTTTTATTAAGGAGGTTATAGTTGAGTAGAAGAAAGAGTGGTGCATTGGAAGTCAGGAGGCTGACAACCCCCCTGTACTTTTGAGGGACCTTTTATGCGACACTTCCAGATCACAGAGAAGCCAGGACACAGAATCTCCTCCCATGAGCCGTCTGCCTGGTAGAGAGGATGCAGACCGACATTTCTGTGTAATTTGCCTTTTAATTGCTGTGAACCATGTTAAGGTGATTTTAATATAGACTTGAACCTATCATCTTGCTGTTTGTTTTCTACCTATTTCTTCTGTTCTTTAATTTTTTCTTTTGTTTTTGTCTTTTTAAAAGATTAATTGGATTTTTTTCTTATGATTCTATTCTATTTTATATTTTTGGTACTGGGGATTGAACTCAGGTCCTTGTGCTTGCGCAGCAGGTGGTGGAACCACTGAGCTACATCCCCAGCCCTTATGATTCTATTTTAGATCTTTGTTATCTTATTAGCTCTAACGCCTTTGTTAGGCAGTGGTTGCTTGAGGTTTTACATCACACCTCTTTATCATATCACAGTTTATCTTTGAATGCTGAGGGTTTAGCAGTCCAAATCTGAGAATCTGAAATCCCAAATCCCAAACTTTTGTGAGCACCAACATGACCAAACCAGTGGAAAATTCACACCTGACCTCATGTGATGGGTTAAAGTCAAAATGCAGGAGTCCTAAAAAAAATTACCTAAAATTACATTCAGGCTATATGTGTAAGCATCTATGAATGTGTTTACACTTGGCTCTTGTCCTCAAGTTATACCTATAAAAATATTCCCAAATTAAAAAAAAATCTGGACTCCAAAACACTTCAGTTCCCAAGCATTTAGGATAAAGGATTCTCAACCTGTCATAGATCACTTATATACACGGGAAGAACCTATAATACAGTTCTTCCATTTTCCCTTCTGAACTTTATGCAGTTTTCATTACACATTTTAGCTTACATATGTTATAAACCCTACACTACTTTGTTGTTTTTGCTTACACAGCCAGTTGTCTTTTAGGGGTTTGCATAAATAGAATCTCGGGTGGGGGATGAAGCTCAGTAGTAGAGTGTGTGGCTGTCATGTATGAGGGCCTGAGTTTGATCCCTGCCACTGACAGATCTGATTTAAATCTTGCAGAAGAAAAAAAGAGTGAATCTTCTATGTTTACTCATGCAGGTACCACTTCCCATGTCCTTGTAGGTCTGTGTTCTATCAAACATCTTTTTTTTTTTTTTTTTTTTTTTTTGGTGGCACTGGGGACCAGGGCTTTGTGCATGGGCTTTACCTCTGGTCTACACCCCAGCCGCAAAGACAGAGTGTCTTAAATCATTTTTTGGTATTTTTGTTTTTTGAGCACTGGGATGGAACCCAGGGCCTCACACCAGCTAAGCACCTGCTGTACCACCAAGTGGCTCCCCTGTCTCGCTTCCTTTTACCGAATTTGGAGTGTGTATTTGTTGGTAGTGAGTTCACCTTTATATATCTGAGAAAGGCTTTATTTTACTTTCATTTTTGTAACATTTTGTATTTTATTTTTTTCCTGAGTGTAGAATCAAAGGCTGCCAGTGGTTTTTGTGTTTTTTTGGTGAGTTCTTAGAAGAGGTCGCTCTGACCTCCTCTTGCTTACCTTGTTGCAGGGGTGATTGGCCATTCCATCGTCTGTTAATTGCCCCTTTTGACTGTCATGCTACTTTTAAGATTTTTCTCTTAATTACTGATTTTGAGCAATTTGCTTGAAAAGGTTGAGTACCACTTATCCGAAATGTGAGGGAACAGAAGTATTTCCGAGTTTGGAGATTTTTTGAATTTTGCAATATTTTTGTAGATTTTTACCAGTTAGCTATCCTTAATCTGGAAAAAGGAAATCCAGAGTTCTCCAAAATCTGAAACATTTTGAACATCATGTTGGATTTGGATTTCAGAGCATTTTTTGGAGCATTTTGGATTTTGCATGTTTGAATTAGAGATGCTAAACTGGTCAATGCAATTTTCTTCATGTTTCTTTTACTTGCATTTTGTTGAACTTTTTGGTTCCATGGATTTATAGTTTTCATCAAGGTTAGACTAATTTTGACCAGTATTTCTTTATGTACTTTTCTGTCTCCTCTCCTGAAGACCTATAATGACATGTATAATAGGCTGCTGGAATTTAATTCACAGTTTATCTTCACATTTGGTAATCTCTACTTCTCTAGTGTCTAATCTATTTCATTCCAGTTTTCATCCCTAGAAGTTCAATTTGGCTTTTAAAAAAAAATGTATATTGGGCCGGGGATTTAGCTCAGTGGTTTCGCCGCCTGCTGCACAAGCACAAGGACCCAAGTTCAATTCCGGGTACCAAAATACCAAAAAATGTATATCTTATTGGGCTTGGTGGTGTGCACCACCTATAATCTCAGCACTCGGGAGGCTGAAGCAGGGAGATCACAGTGAGTTTGAGGCCAGCCTGGGCTACATAGTGAATTGAAGACCAGTCTGGGGCCGGATTTAGCTCAGTGGCAAAAAAAGAAAGTAAAAAAAGACCAATGTGAACTACATAGCGAGACTCTTTCAAAAAAAAAATCTGTATCTCAGCGTTTGAGTCTGTGGAATACAGTTATAACTGGTTTTTTTTTTTTTTTTTTTTGGTACCGGGGATCAAACTTGGGTCCTTGCGCTTGTGCAGCAAGCGGCTAAGCCACTGAGCTAAATCCCCGGCCCAGTTATAACTGTTTTATATCCTCATACATTAATTTCTGTGTCATTTCTGCATCACTTTTGGTTGATAGATTATTATCCACGTTATTGATCATGTTTTCTTACATATTTGCCTGATAATCTTTTTTTTCTTCTTTTACTGGGGATCAAACTCGGGACGTTGCACTTGCAAGGCAGACGCCAGAACCACTGAGCTAAATCCCCGGCCCGCTTGATAATCTTTAACTGGATGACAAACTTATTTTGTCTTATAAGTTGCTGAATAATTTTGTATAAACACTCCTGCAAACATTTTTGAGCTTTTTTCTGGGGTGAATATAAGTTACTTGGAAATAGTTGGAGCTTTGAGACTCATTTTTACGATTTGTTAAGTGAGACCAGGGCCAGCTCATACAGCTGATTATTCCTCTTTACTGAAGCAAAAATACCTCTGTGTTCTCTCCCCCAAGCCTTGTGTATCCTGAGGTTCCAGTGTGGTAGGAACAGGCACAACTCACAGCCTGCCGTGAGCACCCGGCACACCTCTAACCCTTTCCAGTCCTCCTTTCCAAGTCTTGGGTAGTTCTTCTCACACATACTCGCTGAGCACTCCTCAGGCGAACACTTGATAAGAATCCTGTGCAGACTCTGAATCTGTCTTGGGTAGCATCTTCTCTCTGTTACTCAGACCTGCACGCTCTGTGTACCTTTGGCTCCCTGATTCTCAGCCTCATTTCCTCAGTGTAATGAGTGCACTGGGCTTTGCATCAGGTTCTCCTCCCTGCTTGGGCTTCTGGCCTGTTCGAAGGTAGGAAGCTGGCAGTAGTGGGACTCATCTTGCTTGTTTCCCATCTCTCTGGACTCAGTGTCCTTTGCTGTCTGATGTTTCATGTCCTGAAAACTGTTGTTTCATGGATTTTTGTCCACTTTTTGGTGTTTCAGGTGGAGTAGCAAATCCTGTTATTCTGTCTTGGTTGGAAGCAGAATTCGGCACTATGCTTCTCAGTGACCGTACATTTACTCTTCACTTGTCTCAGCAGTGTGGTCAACTGCAGATCTCCCTTTCCTGTGACGTGCAGGGTGGCTTTTATCCACAACTAAATGCAAAATTTTATAGAACTCTTATCTCAGGAAAGAGATTTAACTAATAGAGTGTGAGTTCTATGCTAGCAATATCAACAGTATAGGAATCCAATAGAAAGCCTAGAATTTTCCCTGGCAATCTTCCACATGCTTATTAATTATTGTGCTGGACTTGGTTCCATCTTCAAATAGAAGCAGTGCTTTGTTTATTTATATGCAAGATGTGTACAGACATGCGGAAGAGGATAAAAGACAAAGCCCTGTAAATGTTGCCACTCGAGATTTGTAATCTGAATTGACATTGTTCCTTTGATCATCACTTTGTGAATATACACAATTAACCAGCCACTAATCCACTTCCGCCATCCTCCACACTGTATTTCTCCACTTGCCTCCTTTGTCTAGCGCAAAAAGACTCATGGTAATTGCGGCTTACTGTCTGAAGCCCCATGAGAAACTTTATTGAATGCTTTCTGAAATCAAAATGTTTAAAAATGAAATGAGGTTATTTTGGCACCGCTTTTGCCATCCTTTTCATGTCTTATGTAGCCCAGAGTTTTTAAATGTTAGGTTGTGGTGTGGTACTGAGAATTCACATTATGTTGCAGTTCCTATAATTTTATTTCCCCCCCTTTTGGGTCAATAATTCATTGTTTTGATCTTCTGTTGCCAGTCTGATTCTTCATTTTCTTTTCCTAGATCCCCAATGATAGTGTCCTGGCATTCGCTTGAAGTATATTGTTACTTTTGCTTCATGGGCAGCACAAGGTCCATTTAAAAAATTATTCATCATTCTTTTTTAAAATATATTCTTTTTTTTTTTTTTTTGGTACTGGGGATCAAACTCAGGACCTTGCGCTTGCGAGGCAGACGCTAGAACCACTGAGCTAAATCTCCAGCCCCTAAAATATATTCTTAATTAATGACTTTACAAAAGAATGGTTTCAGTGTGGTATTTTCCTACATGCATATAACATTTTGATCCTATGCATCATATTACCCTCACAACCCCTCTTCTAGTCCCTTATCCGCTTCCTCTTTTCTAATAACAGTCTCTCTTCTACTTCTGTGTCATCTTTCTTTTGTTAGACTCCACATATTAGGGAAAGCACGCAATACTTATCTTTCTGAATGGCGTCTTCCCCTTAGCATGATGATCTTCAGTTGCGTATATTTTCCTGAATGACATAATTTCATTCTTCCTTCCTTATGACTAGTACTGTGCATTCATCTGTTTACGGGCGTCTAGGCTGGTTCCATACGTTGGCTATTAAACATGGGTCTCCAGGTATCCCTGTAGTATGCTATCCTTTCTTCCTTTGGAATTATGTTAGGAAGAGGTATAGGATGGTCATATAGTAGTCCTTTTTAGTTTTTTAGGAACCTCCATGCTGATTTCCATAGTGAAGGTACTAATTTAGATTTCTAATGTTAGTATAGAGAAGGTCTGTTTTCCCCACACCCTTACCAGCATTTAGTGTGGGGTTTTTTTTTTTTGGTGCCGGGGATTGAACTTGGGACCTTGCGCTTGTGAGGCAGGCGGTGGAACCACTGAGCTAAATCCCCGGCCCATCTTTTTGGTATTCTTGATGATAACCATTCTGACTGGAGTGAGAATCTCAGTGTAGTTCTGATTTGCATTTCTCTACTGGATGTTGGACTTTTTTTTTCATGTACTTCTTGGCCTTTTGTATTTCTGAGAAGAGTCTAATTCATTTGTCCATTTATTGATCATGCTTTTTCTGTATGTGTGTTAAGTTTTTTGAGTTCTTTATATATTCTCCTACCGATTCTCTGTTGAAAGAGTGGCTAGCAAAGATTTTCTCCTATTCTGTAGACAGTCTCTTCGGTCTGTTGTCTTCCTTGCTGAGCAGAAGCTTTTTAGTTGATGCAGTCCCACTTGTCAATTCTCGCAGTTATTTCCTGTGTTGTTGGGATGCTGTTCAGGAAGTCTTCGCCTGTACCTATATCTTAAAGAGTCCTCCCTGTGTTTCCTTCTAGTGGTTTCAAAGTTTCAGGTCTCATATTTAGGTCTTTGATCCATTCCTGTGCAGACTTTTGTACAGGGTGAGAAATTGGGACCTAGTTTCATTCCTCTCCATGTGGATGTTGTTTTCCCAGCACCATTTGTCTTTTCTCCAACATATGTTTTTGGCCCCTTTGTCAAGATTCAGATGGCTGTAGCTGTAGGGGTTTCTTTCTGTTTCCTCTGTTCTGTCTGTTTTGATGCCAGTTCCATGCTGTTTTTTTTTGTTGTTGTTGTTGTTACCGGGGATTGAACTCTGGTCCTTGCGCTTGCGAGGCAGGCGACAGAACCACTGAGCTAAATCCCTGGCCCCTCCATGCTGTTTTTGTTACTGAGGTTCTGTAGTACATTTTGAAATTGGGTATTGTGGTCTCTCCAGCATTTCTGTTTTGTTCAGGATTGCTTTTGCTATTCTGGGTCTCTTGTTTTCCATATCCACTTTAGGGTTTGTTCCTGTTCTGTGAAGAATGTTGATATTTTGGTGGGGATTGCATTCAGTCTAGATTGCTGTTGATAGCATGACTGTTATCCGCTGACCTGTGAACACAAGAGCTCTTTCTGTCTTCTAGGGTTCCTTTTCATCTCTTTCTTCAGTGTTCTGAAATTTTCACTGTAGAGGTCTTTCACTTCCTCGGTTAGGTTGATTTCTAGGAATTGTTTTCTTGATTTCCTCCTCATCTAGTTCATAATTGGTGTATAGAAAAACTACTGATATTTGTGTATAGATTTGTATCTTCTACTTTGCTGAATTTGTTTATTAGATGTAAAAGAAGTCGTTTTAGATGTAAAAGCTGGCGTCTCTGATCTCCGGGTATAGGATCATATCATTTGCAAATAGGGATAACTTAAGTTCTTCCTTTCTTATTTGTACCCTTCTTCTCTTTCTTTCTCTCTCCTAATTGCTCTGATTAAAATTTCTAGTACTATTTTGAACAGTGGACACCCTTTTCTCATTGCTGATTTTAGAGGTACTGCATTGTTCTCCCTATGCAGTATGATGTTGGTTGTGGGTTTATTGGGTATAGCCTTTATTATGTTGTGGTACGATCCTTGTGTACCTGTTTCTTTGGGCTTTTTTTTTTTTTATTATTATTACCAGGGATTGAACTCAGAACCTGGTGCTTTCGAGGTAGGTGAGGCGCCACTGAGCTAAATCCCCGACCCTCTTTGGGCTTTTATCATGAAGGGATGTTGAATTTTGTCAAAGGCTTTTTTTACATATGTGGAGATGATTTTGTGATTCTTTTCCCTGATTCTATTTATAAGCTGTATTGCCTTATTGATTTGTTTATGATGAACCATCCTTGCATCCCTGGAATGCAACCAACTTGATCATGGTGCGTGACCTTTTGTGGCTGCCTCCCACCCAGCCACCATGGCAGGGTGTCCCCAGAGGCCCTGAAGTGTCCTGAATTGTCCTGGGACCTCTGACCCCTGGAGCAACTCAGTCTCCAACAGTAAGCCCCTCTTCAGACAGTTTCTGCTTGGACCACTCCAAGATCTGGTGGGAGCTGCTGTGGGTTTCTTCTCCAGGACTAACCTGAATCCTCACTTGCTTCGCAGCCTGCAATAACCATGAGTGTCTTCTGCCCATCCTTTGTTGGCACTGGGTCTGCTGCCCTCTCTTGGCTGGCCTTGCCCTACAGAATTGGTCCCCCACTGTGGCGATGTAGAATGCTTCAGGCTATTATGTGTATTGTCTTTCTGTTTCTCTATGCTTTTTTTTTGTAGACAGGGTCTTACTATGTAGTGCAGGCTGGCCTTGAACTTGGGGTGATCCTCCTACTTCAGCCTCCCAAGTGCTGGAATTATAGGTGTGTATCACCATGCGAGGCTCTCCATTCTTTTTAGCTTTCTTATCACTCCTTTTTTCTTACTCTTTTCTCCTCAGGATATAGTTTCTCCTTTTAAACTCTTAGCTCTTCTTACTCTCAGATCCCTGCAAAGGATACTTATATTCCACCATCTTACCCCAGAAGTCTCCCAGATAATGTGTACTTTGTAGCGCTCTAGGATTCTCAGTCAGGGTTGTTTTGTGGGGTGCTCAGATCTTTTAGAGCTGCTCTGAGTTTTAGCCTATGAGATATGTTAGATCTTGAGAGCAAAACTTCCTTGTATAACTTTGCATTAATTCACTGTTTCTTCTGAGTCTATGTCATTATATTACATGCAAAGTTTAAATTGTTTTCTCATCCTGGTGAGTAAAACCGTTACTGTTTTCCACAATGGGGTTGTCGACTGCCATGATTTAAGCAAAAAAAAGAAATTACTGTGCTAGATTTTACTGTCACTCTTTAATATGAGGCTTTGATGAGTTCAATTTTGTGTCCTGCTCCTCCAGGTTATCAGCTGATCGGGAGCCACTCTGGGGTGAAGCTTTGCAGGTGGACAAAGGTATTTATTTGGTTTTATTAAAGTATTATTTTTATTACATGACATTTTTATGGCTATTATATGGAGTCACTAAGTTTACCTGTAAAGGTATGATTTACATTGAATAAAATGTACGAATTTTGGTTGAACTTCTTAGAGTGAGTTCAGCAGTGGGCCGGGGATTTAGCTCAGTGGTTTCGCCGCCTGCTGCACAAGCGCAAGGACCCGACGAGTTTGATCCCCGGTACCAAAAAGAAAAAAAGAATGTGTTCAGCAAGTTTGGATGGATGTAGAACCCATGTCCGACATCCCAATGAAAACATAAATTCTTTTCCTAGCTCTTGAGAATTTCCTTGTGCCCATTTCTAGTCGTGCTTCTCTCTCCCTATGCAGCCATTGTTGTCACTTCATTTTGCCTCGCCAAGATCTCACGTGAATGGTGTGCGAGCTAATGTGTAGTTTTCATGAGTGGCAGCCGAACAGGGCATACAATTCCTGAGATGTGTCCACGTTGTAGCACCTATCAGAGGTTTATTCCCTGTTTCCGCTCAGTGATATCCCAATTGTATGAATATGCCAGTTTTTATCTTTTGATAAATATTTGGTTTGTTTTCAGTGTTTGGCTGTTATGAATAAAACTGCTATGAACATTCTTTTGCAAAACTATTTGTCAGTATATATTTCAGTTTTCCTTGGGTGAATACCTATAAGTAGCAGTGTTGGCCAGACTGGTTTTATTTTACATTTGCTGGTAGCTGGTGCTGCTGAAGAGGACCTTTTCCAGGTGTATATTGGCCATTATACTTGGGAAATACCTGTTTTAATTGTGTCCAAATCAGGTTGTTTTACTCTGTATTATTGGTTACAGGTTCTTAATACAGTGTGGATTTGGATCTTATAACAGATGTGCCTTGTGAATATTTCTAGTCTGAGGCTTCTCCCTAACCATTCCCTAAGGGTATCTTTTGAAACTTTTAATTTGGTTACTGGATACTGTCCAACTTATCTTTTTTTTTTCTTTAATCGTTTGTTTTTTATATTCTGTGATATCTTTGCCACCAGCTACGAAGTTGCAAAGATATTCATTGTTTTCTTTTGAAGCTTCTCATGTAGTTTTAACTTTTAGGTTTTTGGTTCATCTTGAATCAGATAAGGGTCATATGGATATCCAGTTGTTTTGGTACCATTAGTTGAAAGCTTTCTCCTGTCAATTGAATTACTTTTAGTTGTTTGGGACAATCTATTGTGTGTGGGTAGGTATATTTCTGGACTTTTCATGTTGTGTACCAGTGTATATTTTTCTATCCTTAAGCCAACACCACATTGTCTTGACTTTTCTGGCTCTTTATAGTAAGTCTGAAATTATGTAGTGTAATTTTTCTTTTTTTGCCGTCTGAGGATTGAACCCAGGGGCTCATACATGCTGGTCAAGTGCAGTACCACTGAGTTACACCCCATCCCATTTTGTCTTTTTAAAAAATTTCCAACATGGTTTTCATTATTTCAAGTACTTTGCATTCTTTTATAGTCAGCCTGTGCATTTGTACTGTATGTATTCATGCATTTTTGTTTTATTGAAATACAACTTACTATACAATTCGCTCATTTAAAGTACACTCTTGGATGGTTTTTAGTATATTCACAGAGCTGTGCAACCAGAATATAGTTTTGTATAGAAATTACCAGAATATAATTTTAGGACATTTTTGTCTTCTCTAAAAGAAATCCTATAGCCTTTAGCAGTCAAGCTTCATTCTCTCTGTGGTCCTCAGGAATCACGCTTCCCTGTTGTATATATCTATAAATTTGCTTAATTGGGACATTTCATATAAATAATATTGTACAGAGAGTGGCCTTTTGTGCCTGGTTCCTTTCACTTAACATAATGTTTTTGGGTGTGTCCATGTTGTACCGTATATCAGCATTTCATTCCTCTTTATGGCTGCTGATTTTGTTTGTGTGGATTTATCACACTTTGTTTATCCTTTCATCAGCTGAGGGACATTAGGATTGGTTCTACTTTTTTTTTGGATGTTATGAATAATGCTGGCCTGGATGTTATTCCAAGTGTAGGTTTTTATGTTGGGTGTATACCTAAGAATACAGTTGCTGGATCATGGTGTGTGCATGAGTGTGTGTGTATGTGTGTGTGTTTTTTTTTTTTTTAATTCAAGGAACTGGCAAACTGTTTTCCAAAGTGAGTGCACCATTTTACATCCCCACCAGCAGTGTGATGAGGGTTCCAATTTTTCCATTTCTCTGCAAACATTTATTATTATATTTTTATTATATACTATTTTTTATTTATTATATTATTATACTTGGTTTGAAGTAGTATCTCATAAAGGTTTAAGTTGCATTTCCCTAATGATCATGGTGTTGAGCATCTTTTCATTTGCCTGTTGTACGTTTATGTATCTCCTTTGGAGAAATGCCTCTTCAAATCCTTGGCTATTTTTATATTGGGTTGTCTTATTGTTGGCTCCTAAGAGTTCTTTATTCTGGGTGATAGTTCCTTACCAGATGCATGATTTACCTCTTCCACTGCTGTTTACTTGTGATGGTGTCTGAAGGAATGGAATTACTGTGGGCCTCTGGTAACCGGGCTTCAGGTGCCACAGGGCCTCCAGGCAAACCTGGAGGACCTCTCAAAGGTGGCGAACCTTTTAGAGCTTCCAGTGATACAAACAACCTACTGTAGCACACATGCTATAGGCTTGCCACCATTGTCCTAGACCCTTCTCCAGCCTGTCCTGTCTGGCCAGGTTCTCCATACAGAACTGTTCTCATTATTATCATCACCATTATTCTTTATTTCTTTATTTTTGAGACAGGCTTGTGCTTTGTAGTTCAGGATGGCTTTGAAATCACTGTGTAGCCGAGGCTGGCCTTAAACTTACAGTGATCCTCCTTCCTCAGTCTCCTGAGTGCTGGGATTACAAGGGTGTGGCACGCTGGGCTCCTCACTGCTATTACTACCTTCTTCGTGACAGTGCTAAATAAGCCAGGTTTTCTTGTCCAGTCATGCTTGAGTTTTAAAATTTCTGTTATAATGGCCAGAGATTTAGCTCAGTGGTGCCAGTGCCAGCCTTGCAAGCTCAAGGTCCTGAGTTCGATCCCCAGTACCAAAAAAAAAAAAAATTCTGTTCTGAAAAATTTGTGTCCAAGGTTCACACTTCTGCTTCTGCTATCTTTTCCTTTCTGTGTTCCCTGGCCAGTGTATTCCTGCCCTCCTTGTACCAGCCCTTTCTCTTGTGCCCTGTTGTCCTTAGCAGGAAATGTGTGTCTTCAGCTTTCTCCTACATTGGCCCTGCCCACGTTGCCATAATCCACATGTAACTTTGTCACTTGGTACCTCAGCCACCCTGATGGCTCTCCCTGATGGAGAACCTGTTTCTTAGCCCATGTCGTTTTCAGAATATCAAACATTCTCCACATTTCTCTGTTGTATCATGGTTCCAGCTTCTCTATGGACCCACTTCTATTATTTGTGGTTACTTGAGAAATCCTTCTTTTTAAAAACATTCCTATTCCTCTGCCTTCATCGTAATACTCATCAGCATGAATATTCCAATAGATTACACCTCTGGTACCTTCGGTCACTCCATCTACTCTTGGTGCCAATGTCCTGTTAATAAGTTAATTAATTTGAACACTTCTCATTATCTGTCTTTTTTCCAGTCCAGTGATTTTTAATCATATCAGATTCAATGCTTTCTGTTTATGGCTAGGATTTTGTAGCATGCCTTTACTATTGCTGAATTGAATTTGCAGATAGTATAATATCATATACATAATTTGTAAGCAAATCACTGTTTGCATAACTATACTATGAAAGAGGAAGTACTTATTTAAATATTATATGTTTCTATACAAAAATGCTCTGAAATTACTACATTAGAAGGCATAATGAAGCAGCTGCTTGCATCTACTTTTAATGGATAAGCTTAAATTTAAGAGAAGTAAAAAGTATTGCAAGTTATTCTATATGAGAAGTAATAAAAACCCAGGCTTACATATCTATGATAAGAGAATGAAGGGAAATAACCCTAATTAAAGTAGTGCCAGGGCCGAGATTTAGCTCAGTGGTCCTGCCGCCTACCTTGCAAGCACAAGGTGCCGAGTTTGATCCCCGGCAGCCCCCCCCCCCCAAAAGTAGGGCCAATAAGACAACCAATTATATCACATAGGGAAAATGAAAAAGTAGGCTGTGTTGCACATGTGCCGAGTGTCATTTGTAAATTGTGGAATCAGAATACTTTCCCATCTTGTGGCAGGAGGAGTAGTAATGGAATATCACAGAAAATGGATCTCCTGTTTTGAAACCCTGTGTCTTTTTGAGACCTACATTCTGTCTCTAATTCATGACAAAACTATGGAGATCGTAAGTTGAATTAAGTACATGCTTACAAAATAATTGAAAGGCCTAGGGCAGTGATGGTGAATCTTTCAGTGCTTTCAATGACACAGACAGCCTGCTGTGGCACTGTGCCATAGGTTTGCCACCACTGGCTCAGGATAGTGAAGGTCAGGGCTGATTGCTTCTGACTTTGTGGAAATAAAAAGTCTTGGACTCACAGGACACTGCTTTGAGTAAGCCGAGCTGTTGGCAGCATTCAAGTGAATGTTTCTTATCTTCTCATCTTCCTGAGGCTTTCTGTATGGACCGTGTCTTACACCTGCTTCCAGCAGGGAGTAATAGTTTCTCGTGTTTTGCCTTCCAAACCTTGCATAGGTGCCTCTCATTGGTGGAGTCTAAATTAGAATCTTTTAGACCAGGCTGTCTGAGAAATTTGGTGTTTGGGTTTCTTTCCCTTGCTTAGAAGGGCAGGCATGAAACCACTGACAGGAAATATCTAGCACAGTCACCCCTTTGCTGCCCAGCATCTACCCACCTTCCACCTGTATTTATGTTTTCAAACAATAACATAAGCAAGACATTTGCTTCTACCTAACAAGTTGCAAATATTCCTTATGCAGCTATTTCTTATGTTCCCTTCCTTTAAGTCTTTTTGAATCTT